AAATTAGTTGATTATACATGGAAGCACATGGATGTTGATACTATCTTCTCTATTTTTTAAGTCTTTTCAAAATAAAACTAAAATATATAAGCAAGCCAAGAAAGGCTAAGAATCCTTGGCTTACGCTACTTTAACAGAACAAGGCTAAAGGCGCACCGACATTTTCATATACCTAAATTTAAGAAAAGCCCAGTAAAGAGGATTCTGATCCTTTACCACCTGAAAGTGGCCTCAACGTACTTCTAAAGATTTCTAGATACGTTCTCTAAATCTTAATTTCTAGAAATTTCTTTTTCTCCTTTTGTAAAATATGGAAAATTATCTGGCCTATCTTTAGCTTTTAGGAATCTCTATCAATTCTCTTTGAGCTATGAAGAACAGAAGATCAATTTTTCAAGCATTCCAGGAAGACTATCCTATGATCTCTTACAGTTCTGGTTTGGGTTGGTTTTTGATGAAGAGTAGAGATACCATGGTCATCTGAAAGGCCAGAGGTGAGGGACAGGGCGTACATGTGTGTCCACATCTCTAGTTATCTTACTGCTTTTTGAAAGCTATCACCTACAAACAGATGATCTTAGTATATCTGACCCTTGAATAACACGGGTTTGAACTGTGTGGGCCCATTTATACATGGATTTTATTCCACCTCTAACTTCACTAGAGACAGCAAGACCAACCTATCCTCCTTCTCCTGAGCCTACTCAACAAGAAGACGACAGTGAAGCCCTTTACGACGATCCACGTGTACTTCACGAAGAGTAAATATATATTTTTTCCTTCCTTCTGATTGTCTTGAACATATTTTCTCTTCTATAGCTTACTTTATTGAAGGAATATAGTATATAATACACATAATATGCAAAATATGTGTTAACTGACTTTATGTTATCAGTAAGTCTTCTGGATAATAGCAGGTTCCAAAAGCAGTCAAGTTTGGGGGGTTGTTGAAAGCCCCATTCAGATTTTTGACTGTATGCAGGGGTCAGCAGCCGTAACCCCTGAGTTGTTCAAGAGTCAATTGTATTCTTTTCTTCTGTCCCAAAGAGAATGTCAACAAAATTCTGACCTCTTCTCTAGATTAGCAATGTAGCTGTTCTTTTCAGTTAGAATTCCTTCTGAAAATGAACACTGCTTCCCGTGTTTGATTATTCTAATCATCTCATTTCTCCCTGGGTCTCCACACAGCACTGGGCCTGTCTTGTGACTCACCAGCCTTTCAGAGTCAAACAGTCTTCCTTGCTCTTAGAGTCATTTTAGTCCAGACTTCTTTAAGATCTGCTTTGGAGGAGATAGGGCAGTGGTTCTCAACCTTCCTAATGCCACGGCCCTTTAATACAGTTGAGAACTGCTGAGTTAGGGCTAATGATGTGAAATGTGAGCTTATTTTTAGCAGCAGACATAAGACATCAACAAATACCACCCCAACTTAGGGGACAGGAGACTGTCACCCAGGATTCTACAATTTTAAGTCAGGAACTTATATCTTTCATTTATTTGGATAATTCCCTAGAAACAGAGGCTTGTTTTCCTCCCATATATTCTTTATTAGAAAATACTCTTCACAAGGACTCATCACCACAAGGTCCTGTATTTTGTCCTCCTGCCTGACTCCGTTTATCCCTGATGCCACTGATTTGTTCTCCATTTCTATAATTTTGTCATTTGCTATAATAAATAGAAACATAAAGTATGTCACCATTAAAAAAAAAAAAAAAGAAAATACCCTTCAAAGAGTGTGTCTATCTGAGAACAAAATTAATACATGAACAAATAAATATACGATGCTATTTCATTCACATCCTTGGAAGATGGAGTCACTGGCATTTGTCACCCTTAAGGGGAAAGAAACCTTAATGAAAAAGATAAAATGAATTCTCTTTACTTTATAGAAGTATTTTTACTGTTACTATCATTTAGCTTTTCTATTAGTGATTTCCTTTTAATACCAGCTACCATCAAGCTTTAAACAACTTTGAAGACAGAGGACATTTATATATTTCTGCCATAACGATGGACCACAATGACAGTAACTGTATAGAAAGATGAAGAGAAACTCAGGCGGCTGGCTTTTAACAAAAACATGAACCACTCAAGTTTGCAACACCTAAGAGTCCTATTTCTACAGTATTAAACATAAGGACAACTCCGTAACAGAAAACCAATCTACTAAAATATGAATAGTGACAAGAGGGGCATGTCTGGCCATCAAGCACAACCCATCCTTGCCCAGGCCCTGGGAACAAGTGTGATGGTCACTCTCCTTCCTTTTAACCTTTAGCCGCCACGAGCACTTCCCAGATGAAGCCTCCTAAATTTCATGGGGTGCCAGGTCTCCCTATGGCAAGTGCACGTCTTCCTGCTATGGCAAAAGCTGCTGATGACATCAGAGCTGATGCCTGACATAGCAATCAAGGGATGTTACACAGGGGTCTCTGAATGTGTGGCCTGGGACTGTCCCGAGACCTCCTGTAGTGTTTGCAAAGACCCTGGCCCCCTTGGGCCACCTCTCAGGTGGAGAGGCCAACCATCAGCCCACCCCCCTTGGAATGCAGCCCTCCACATAAACAAGAATGCCTTGTCTTAATTTGCTCACAAAAACCAGGCATGGGAGAAGAGTGGGTGAGGAGAGAGCAAGCACTTTGGCAGATACAACAACTTGCTCCTGGATATTGGGACAGCGTTTAAAGTTGGCATGAGGTCAGGGAGGGGTCCTGCCGGGGTCCTCCTTCCCTTCTCCCATGAGAGAGACTTGTCTTAAGGAGAAGTTTCTCTCATGGGAGAAGGAGACTAGAACACCCATCCTTGCCCAGGCCCTGCGAACAAGTGTGATGGTCACTCTCCTTCCTTCTAACCTTCAGCTGCCACTGTCTTTCTGCTGGAGAATGAACGGGGACCCTTCACGCCACTGGCCATCTACTGGGGCTCCCTTTCCACCCAGGCTTGTGGGTATGTCAGTGATGAAGCTGGAGGTGGGTACCTGCACAGCGGCACTCTTGTTAAATGACTCACCAAGAGCAAAGGTGTGTCACCAATCTGCGGCTCAGGTGTGCAGGGCCTGGCCCCACGGATGCCATGTGAGTCATCCAGAGCTGTGCAGATAGACACAGGTGCTGAGAAGATACAGTTCAACCAAGAACCAGACGAGGGGAAAAGTGAGGGAACTAAAATAACAGTATCTCTGCATCTCCTCACCTCCACCAAAATAAACAAGACAAAAACAAAAGCATGAGAGAAAATACGGAGAAACAGGGCATGGGGGGAATCTCTCACTTAGGAAGCAGAGAGGGCAGTGATGCTACAAGCCCGGACCGGCCTCAAGTCAGACACGGCATCTTCCAGGCAGCTGATGTCAATGAAGGACCCAGCACAGGGTCCTGGCCCCACAGCGCTGGGTTTCCAGACATGCTCATTTCATCCTTAATAAACTACTTCACTGACATCTGAGGAAACTAAAGCCCAGGTACGACAGTGGTCACAGAGCTATGTATGTGGCAGAACCAGGATTTGAACTGAAAGCTTCTAAACCTACTGCTTCCATTATACTGGCCAATTCTCAGTTACAACAAAGTCCCATGTACACTGCTCCATAAAGAAAATGATACCCTACTGATTTTAGTCTTCTTAACCTGAATTCCTGCTAGGCACGTTCTCAGACTGGACACCTGCCAATCAGTCTTGCCAGTGTGGCCACAGGGGCTCACGCCTGTGAACCCTGGCCGGCCCAGGTATGACACACTGATCTCCATTAACAAGGAGCCTGTTAGTAATCCCAGATGGGCGACTCTGCTACACTCAGCATGGACCACAGCTACCTCGATGGAGAAGAAAAATATGATCCCTTAACTGATCTAAAGGGTTTAAGACCAGAAAATAATTTATTTTTGATAAGAGGGTAGTGAAATTCTAGAATGAGCACAGAGCTGGAAAGATCAAGACAATGATTTAGTTCCAGGTTTACTGCCGAGTAGCTGGGTGAACTCAACCAAGGGACAAACTTCCTTGGGCCTTGGGTTATTCCTCTGACCTGCTAGCCTCACACGGCTGCCTGAGGACAAAATAAGAAAAATTCAGAATTTCCAGCTAATTCGAGGCTTGACAGCCCCCTTCCAGGACATGACTTGCCTGAAGGTGGCCTTCCAGATCTCTTTGTTTAGCTTTGTTGGGAGGAGAGATACCATTAACTCTCTTCTGGAGGTGGCCCCGAGTTCAGGGCCTGCACCAGACCTTCCTGAACGCTAAACATGGCTCCAAGGCTCCACAGAGGCAGAAGCACACTGTACATACTTCTTGGATCTCTGTTTGGCTCCTAAGGTCCCTAGGGAGCAAAGCCACCCTAGGAACAAGGAGTTTGCACAAACCTGAGGCTCCTACATGGGCAGGCCACCAGTCATCACCACCACACCCACTGCCCAGTGTCCTCCGTTTCTGCTTCCTTAACCCAGCCCTGTTCTGGGCACACCAGTCTTGGGGAGTCATGCTCAATGCAGCCTAAGCCATTAATTGAAAGATGAAAGGACATTGTGAGAGGTTAGTGGGTCACTTGTAGCATCTCACTTGTCAGGGAGGCTGGTGTGGCTCTATCAGAAACCTCTGTCATCTTCATCCTCCAAGGATGAGCTGGGGTTTTCATAACAAGACCTCCTGATACCTTCTCAGGGCTGGTGCTGGCCACACACCCGCTTTGCCCCTAACTCTGCCCGTTCCTCTTTCTCCTCCCACGTGCTAATCTTGCCTTTTTGGTCTAAGAGAAAACCAGGCTTTCCTGGATTCTCACTGCAAACTCCCCCAGACGGAGCTTTCAGCTCCGTGAGCTGGATCCGGGCATTGTGGAAGGCCCTTCAGCTCAATCGAGCCCCTGCCTCACAAGTGTCCCTCTTGGACAATGGTCTAAGAGGGGTTTTCCTGAGGAAAGGATGGTCTGCGTGAACATCAGCCAGGGCAGTGAGAGTGACACACAGCTACTCCCTGGCCCCGCCCTGCCCCACACGCCTCCTCACCACCAAGACGTGCTCCAGAAGGTCCAGATAGCCGAGGGTGCACTCTGTCCCAAATCGCAAGGCTCTGGCTCGCACCTCGTCACTGACATCAGGGTGGAAGGACGCTTGCTGGAGAAAGAAAAGAATGTCGACATCTGGAAACAGAAGAGCCAGCTGACAAGTTATCCACCTAGCAGTGCTGGGCAGCCCTGGGCCCAGACACAGGGGACTTTGCTCTCCAGCCCTCTCCTCAGTACCTTCTGACACTGTGTGTATGTGTGTGTGTGTGTGTGTGTGTGTGTGTGTGTGTGTGTGTATTTACTTTGTGGGTGCCCTGGGGCCAGATGAATATGGTCTCTGGTCATCCCTTTCCCACCATTTTTTTGCCATGTAAAAAACTCCACATGCACTAAAAAGTCCAGGAATGATTCGTGATTAGGACTCATGGCAGGAGACATACTGACCCGGGGTCAGCTGGCCTCTCTTCAGCAATATCAGGAGTCCTGTAGACCCCTCTCTGTTCACTGGCTAAAGCCCTTGGGCTCCTGGGAACCTCTGGAGAGTGATGAGCTCCCTGGACTCTCAGAGGCACCATCGCCCATTTCACATCACACAACAGTCTAGATAAGCAAACCAGGGCACGTGGTTGACACGGCATCCTACGCTTTTCTTCTCACACTCCTGCCCTTCCCAGTGCAGTCATTCCTGACACATCATTTCTGATGGCACACCCATTCACAGGGCTGCCAGATAAAACACACCTGGTTAAATTTAAATTTGGGATAAACAATAAAAAAAGTTTGTTTTTTTTTAGAGATAGAGTCTTAGTTTATCGCCCTTGGTAGAGTGCCATGGCGTCACAGCTCACAGCAACCTCCAGCTCTTAGGCTTAGGTGATTCTCTTGCCTCAGCCTCCGGAGTAGCTGGGACTACAGGTGCCCATCACAATGCCCAGCTATTTCTTTTATTGTTGCATTTTGGCCGGGGCCGGGTTCGAACCCACCACCCTCAGTATATGGGGCCAGCGTCCTACCACTGAGCCACAGGTGCCACCCGACAACAATGAAAAAAGTTTTAGCTAAAGTAGGGGATATCCTACTTTTTTTTTTTTTTTGCTAAAACTGGCAATCCTACCCATTCTTCCTCCTATAGCTTCATCTGAAAAGAACTTGAGGAGTTTATGGGACTACATAATGTAGAAAACCATGCAGAAATCCCTTACCAGGACAAATACAAATCATACATTAGGATGAAAAGTCAAGGCTTTATCCTAAGGGGGATCCTGACCAGCCTCCAAGGAGCACAAGGTGCTGGTGGGCACCTGCAGGCTCCCCCCGACCTGCCCCAACCCAGGAAGAAGTGGGGCTAATCTGCGCGTGACAGGCCCAGTTTTACTCCTCTGAGGACTAATGGGCTCAGAGGCAGGAACTGAGAGCCATGCTACTAACCACTATCACTTTTCATTCACACTTGTGACTGTGTGCCTCCAACTATGAGCAGGGAGCCCCATGTCTGCCTGTCTAGACATGACTGCAGGAGACAAAGTCAATGCCACTTCTAGTAGGTTCTATGCCAGGCCCTCATGTGAGGTTGTGGGAAAGGTGTTCTTGTCCACTGCTGGCAGCTCTGTAACTTGGCAGAACTCTCTGGGAGGGCAATCTGGCCTAATACCATTCATTAGACCCACTAATTCTACTCCTGTGGGCCTAAGGAAATAGCCACAGCACAGGAAAAAAAAACCCCAAAACCCAGATATGTCCAAAGATGTTTATTGCAGTAAAGTTTGTGATTAAAAAAAATGCAGACAACCTAAATATCTGATAATATTCCCAATATTTTGTAGTCATTAAAAAGTCAGTGCTAAGGGGACATGGTGGCTCATGCTTGTAATCCTAGCACTCTGGGAGGCTGAGGTGAGTGGATTCGTTGAGCTCAGGAGTTCAAGACCAGCCTGAGCAAGAGTGAGACCCCATCTCTACTAAAAATAGAAAAACTAGCTGGGCATTGTGGTGGGTGCCTATAGTCCCAGTTACTCAGGATGCTGAGGCAGGAGGATCTCTTAAGCCCAAGACTGAGCTTGCTGTGAACTATGATGATGCCATGGTTACCCACCCAGGGCAATAGAGTGACACTCTGTCTCAAAAAAGAAAAAAAAAGTCAGCACTTATGACTCATAGCAACACAGAAATGGGCACATAATATCATAGTAGATATAAAATTGTATCTAGCATAAACAGAGGCACATGAAAGTAAATCCAGAAAGAAATACACATGAGAATCAACTTAGGGTTTGTGTAAATCTTTCTTCCTGTGTAAGGATTTAGCATGATCCACTCATTCTGGTAAGATGAGCCACTGTGTAGTACTGTGCCTCCATGTTCGCCCCAGCTACCCTGCTCAGCCCAAAGGCGATGTTCAAACAGCGAAACTCAGCCCTTCTTGGCATATAGGGCTTTCTTCTTGACCCACTCCCAATACCCCTGGTTTTCTGTACATGTCTGATTGTATGCACACCCTTTCTGGGTGGCTGCCTCATTTCCTTTGGCAAAGGAGTGAGGAATACAGGAGACCAAAAGAAATATCCGTAAGTAAATCACTAAGTTCACTAGGTAAGCCCATTCTACCAAAAATCTCAGGGCTCATAGCAGAGGGCCCTGCCCTCAAGTCTGCTGCGGTGCATGTAGCCAACATACAGGCTTCTTGTGGTTGTCTGCCTGCTATTTTTGTCCTGCAAAGCTAAGGTGGTCACAGGGCACAAGAACAGATGAGCTGAGGATGGGCAAACAGCACCCACACATCTCTATTCCGTCTCTTCCCCTGAAAATAGGGGCCCATCAAAAGAGACTAAAAATCTGAGCTGGATTCCATTTAATCATTATCTTTCTTGTGTTCAATTTCCCCTTTCCACATCTGTAACATGGTGACAAAAGTGTCTGTCACTCATCAGCCACAGCAGCATTAAGCATCAAGGGCTGGGAGGCCCAGGGAGACCAGCTGTGGAATCAGAAGAGCTGGTTTTCTTTCTGGTTCTGATAGTAAATGGGGTGTGACCTTGGTCAGGCCCCTTCATCCCTTCTGAACTCATTTCATCATCTGAAAAATTGGAAAAATTCCTGTTGCCTTTGTCACCTGAGACCAAATGATGGTATGTGATGGCCTCTCCAAATCTATGAGGTGCCGCGTGAGCATATGGGCCACATCTTGCCAGGTAAATACTACCCTTTGATTGAGATCATAATCCCTTTGGAAGTTACCATTTTTGATGGGCAGATTCCATTGAGCACACCAAAACAGCACATCCTTGGGCCTTAGGAGGGAGTCTGACCCCTCTGACGGAGCATCTCCTATCCTTCAGGGAAGTTGCCCTATCTCTGCCCTTGTCTTTCCAGCCCACCCCAGACGTTGCAGCTGCAGCCCAGCAGAACTCCAGTCAGTGCAAAGTGTGGCTCTGTTCCCTCAGGCCCCAAGCTGTAAAACCTGGTCTTCAACTTCCCTGGTGAATCTCACCCTCACTCACCAGGGCTGGGGGCGTCAACCAATCCCCCTATAGAAGCCAGAGTCCCTGGAGCAAAGCACAAGGGTGTGGCCTGGGGGTGCTCAGTGAGACGTCATGTCACAAGGGGCTCTTGTGGGTCACTTTCTTAACAGATAAAAGGAAGTAAAGTCATGGGGTTCAGGTGTCCACGGGTCCCTCACTAGGCAAGGTGCAGGGTGGCTGCTGCAGTTATCTGCTCAAGAGCTGAAGAGTTTCTCCAAGATGCCTGGTAGCAAAACGGTATCACCCCAAGTCCTGCTTTGTTTCTCTAACTCACTTTCTTACCAGTGATAGTGACACTCTTCCTAGCGCACAATGCAGGGGCCCAGGCAGAAAGGCAAAGGAGTTTCCACTGGGGGGACCTGGAACAAAGTGCTACAGTTCCTGCTCACTGCTCTCTGAGAGGCCGCAACCACGTACTCTGGAAGAAGGCTTCCTGCCCGTTTATGGAGACTTGACAACAAGGGGAGGCTTAGGGCAGCAGGGCCGACTCCATCCTTTCCCCCAAAACTGCCTTAGAGAACCATCTCTCACAGGCTCATGCCTCTGCTGTCCTCAGCGTGCATTTTCATTACAAAGTCTAAGGTATCCCACTAGCCCACTCTACACAGTCCAGCCCTCCCCTTCTCCAGGTGACACCAGACACCTCAATCGTGACAGAGAACTATCTATCCATCCAAAAAATGCCCAGGCCTTTACCTTGCAAGCCGTCAACATATCTGACACGGCTTTCCGGCTCAGATTGGCAGTGGCAATCACGTCCTCCTGTCTACACGAGTTCCCAGCCGCCACGGCTTTGGCTGTTGCCATGGTGATGCCTTTCGTCATCCTTATCGATTCTTCAGGTGACGATGTCTTTTCAGGTACCTCTTTTGACTGGAACACCTACAAGTCAGTGACAGAGAGATGAAAAGAATCAGAAAGGAAAAGACAAAAATAATTTACCCTTCTCCAACCGGGCTGTAGCTCAACGTCTGAAAACCGAGCCAGCAACTGGGGGAAAATGTCAAACGGGAGGAAATTAAGAAATTTAATTTGAGCACAGTAATATCATTCTGGCTTTCAAGTCTCTGGCATGGACGAGCTCACACCTCCACTCAGCACTCATGGGGACCATAGGGTGGGGGTGTCTATGGCGCTAACATGATGGTCTGCAGGAATCAACTCCTCATACTTATACGCGCTACCCACCCTGGGGGAGGGTGTGTGGGGCCTCCTAGCTCTCTTCCTCTACCTCTGCTGGTGCTTCAGCAGTTTCCAGAAATCCTGCAGTCCCAGGGCCAGTTTCAGGGCAGGACTGATGTGGCTCTCACTCTGGACTCACCTCTCTCTCTCTAAGGGGTGTGAGGCTGGGGGAAATGAAGCATCAGTTCCTTCTATTCTTAGCCTGTCTTACAAATAGAACTGCATAATTGTGCAGAGGTGTTCAGGTCGAAGGCACCATGGTGACACTGTGAATTATTTAACAACTCGCCCTCCCTTTAGAGAAGCTGAAATAAATTAACCATGGTAAATCAATATCTCACTTTAAAGTTCCACCTGTTGGTCAAGTCAGCTGTATCTGCATCGAGCCCACCTCTCTTGTCTAACGTGAATGGTGGGTGCCCTGTGTGCTAAATGCATCTGTCCCCGTACCTGAGGACCCCGTCCTAGGTGAGGCTGCCCTGCCCTCACCCCCAGGCCACCATATTCCAGCAGGGAAGGGCTTCCCTGATGCAGAAGGGAAGACCCAGTTGGCACCCCCATGGCAGGCCACCCAGTGCCAAACATCACTGCCCTTACAAATGGGTAGCTGTGATTAAATAGCCCAGGACCTTGAATCCCAGCTCCACCCTCGAAAGCTGTTGCAGGAAAATGTGAAGGAAGTTGCATATATGATAACACCCAATATCAGGTATTGGCTCCTGATGGAGCAAGGACATAACTGGACTTAACCCTGAGTAGATTCCCAAAGCTCAAAGCTGCTTGGGGCTATCTGGGGATCAAACTGGGCAGCTCCGCCAGGTCTCTACTGGATGTGCAGACACTCGGCCTACATTAAGCTTCCTGATAGATGGTACAGGAGCTATATAATAGGTACAATCAAATCTTCCTTCTTCCTACCGCCCCTAGAGACTGGAGAACTGTCAGGTTTTCTAGTTTATACTTCTAAACTGAAAAGACAAAAAAGCATGATGTGATAACAGGAGATGGGAGAGACAACGGATGGCCTCCCAGGGAATAATCCAATATTATGGTCCAGCCACCTGGGCTGAGAATGAGTCACGGGGATTAGAACCCCAATATATGTTAAACTGGATTATCCAATTACAAGCAGTTTTAGAAATAATAACAAATGAGACCAGCAAGCCTTAACCCTACTAGCCCATAAATAAACCCAAATGAGAAGTGCTATCTACCAAAGTTCATTGGCCCTAGACTACCTTCTAGCAGCTGAAGGAGGAGTGTGTGAGAAGTTCAATTTAACAGTTGCTTATAGATTGATGATGATGGACAAGTAACTGAAGATACAACTAAAAGGCCAACTAAAATAGCTCATGGACCTATACAAGTGTGAAATGAATTTAACCCAGATTCCTTATTTGGTAGATGATTTTCTAAACTAGGAGGATTTGAAACTATGATTATAGGTTTTCTTTTTATAATTAGAGAATGTTTGCTTTTGCCTGGCTTATTACCTATCTTTGTTCAATTCCTCAAAGGCACAGTCTCTGTAATTATGATAAAAGAGAACACAGGCAAAGTGTTCAAGGCTCAGTGATATTATCAAGTAGCTGTGGATACCAATCATGATTGAGATGAGACCCCATTCTTGATTGATGGGGTCTGAAAAGGGGGAATGAGGAAGGAGAAATAAATCTTAGACTTCTTAGTGATCCTGAGAAAGCTGCAGGCAGCCGCAGAAGGACTCCTCCTCCAAGGAGAAGAACAAACTTTACACCAGCTAAAATAACTTTGAAAAGCAAAAGAAAAAAAAACACTCTGTAACTAATAACAATTCCCTGGTTTCTAACATCTGTAGCCCTAATTGAGTAGCTGATATTGAATTGAAAAAAAAAAGGTATAAAAAAGTCTGGAAAAAACTGTTCCCCAGAGCTAAGCATTTCATGCCTTGAGGCACCTGAGTTCTCACGGGCAATTAAAGGTTCCTTCCTTATATTGTTGGTGTAAGTGTCTGTTTTAATTCTCCATTTTCCTACAACAGTGCAGAGTTCACACTAATGTGGCCCTCATGGCAGATACACTCCACTGAAACCCATAATCTGGGTGAATTTTAAATCATACTGGTATACTTAGAATATGACTTTTCTGTCGGATAGCTCTGAATTTCAGATCTCTTCCATTGCCCATGCGTGTCAGAACCCAGGTGCAGACTTTCGGTAGCAAACTCCCAGGCTGCTTTACCAGTTTTTCACTTGCTCCTGTATTTTTCTAGTTTCTTCTTTAAAGTGTGAACTAAGCACATACCACCCAAGGCCAGCTTTAATATTAAAGACATGACAAGAGAACCAAGACTGGGTCAGAAAGCCCAGTGGACGTGCTCTATTGACAACTCTGGTGCTGGCCCTCAGGTCGCCCTCACAGGTGGCCCTTTAAAGGCTCAGGACACTGGCAGTAAAGGCAGGGACACCTTCTTTCTCCCCCCGCCCCCTACAGATCCCCCAGAAAGTTGGATCTGTGATCAGACCTCCTATTCCTATTAAAAGGAAAGTTCAGTTTGAAACCACTAATTTTCAGCATATTTCTATTTGTAGGGCTCACAAGAACAGAAGCTAACACCCGTATCACAGCAACAACAGGGTGTCCTCACTCCACAGTGCTGGAACAAGGCAGAAAAAGAATCAGGGCAATTTCTCTCAGATGGAGGACTTGAACAGGGGGCTGGATCTCAAAGGGAGGTATCTCAGTTGTGAGCGTCCGTGCTCTTACAATGGTGAATCTCAGACTTCAAATTCCCCATGTGCAGACAGCAGTGTGAGCCACTGCCAAGCCACTGCCAGCAGCAACGTGGATCAAGAGAGGCTGTACACTGTACCTCGGATCTAACTTGGAGCAAATGGGAACCGTCATACTGACTTTCCCTTTCACCAGGAATCTTCTGTAATGCTTTGGTGTCATACTTTTAGTGGAATTAATTAAGCCCAAATAGCTCAAAGTCATAATCCATTAATTTCTGGATTACAATTACAAATGAATCCTAGCCAAACTCAGTGACACAGCCCTCAATAAGACAAGGCTACCGGCAGGCAGGTGAGTGGGCCTCCTTAGCGCAGGTGTTCTGGGTAACACCTCATTGTGCAAAAAGTCCCAGAGGGGTCAGCAGTGGGTCAGCTTTGGAACCCTGGTGCCTGAGGGGGTGGCCGCTGGCTCCTTACCGTGAGCTCCTGCTTTATGTATTCAATCGTGGCTTCAAGGGCCCTGGTGCCCCGAGTGGCCTCATCTTCCACCGCCTTTACCGTCTTGAGGAGGGAGGTGACATTGGTCACCATCACCTGGACAGGAAGAGAGAAAATAGGGCATCTGTCTGAGGGCCAGTCCCTTCTCCCTCAGCTCTGGGTAGATGTCCCCCCAGTGCTCCTGAGTCCGCTTGTCCCTAGCTGGAGTCGCACTCTACCTTGGCAGCGCCCTTGAGCTGGTACATGGAGGGGTCGTCGGCCGGCTTGCTGGCAGCTCCCTTGGTAGCTCCGATGAGATCAGAAAGGGCCTTGGCCACGTCTTTGATGGCGTTGATCAACACCACCTGAAAGAACATGGGCCCAGGTGAGCAGGCACTCAGCAGTCACCTACTGACTGCACCAAGGACACACAGCCCGAGGGCAGCCTGGGGCAGGGGCAATAAGAAAAAGTTTCTTTTTTATTTTTTTTTGAGATGGAACCTCAAGATATCCCCCTGGGTAGAGTGCCATGGCATCACGCTCACAGCAACCTCCAACTCCTGGGCTCAAGCGAGTCTCCTGCCTCAGCCTCCCAAGTA